CTCCATTTAAACATATGTTTATGTAACTAATATAATTAAATAGTATTTAGTAACTAACTTTATATGTACACATCTGTTGCATGCCCTAAAATATCTATATATATCAAAAACATGTTCCAATCTTCCAAAAATTTTCTGAAGTACAGTTGATCTTTTCCTGAGAAGAGATCACTTTGGACACACTCTTTAAATAACACTTCATAACATATATGTATTAAATAACCATGAGACATGACAGAAATTGTAGGTAATCTGACTCGAACCAGAGAAGTTGCTCAGGGTTAAAGATGGCAGCACTTACCAACCAGGCTCACTTCTAGTTGAAGACGGCCCCAAATCCCAGTTAAAGAAACATTTTATACTCCAGTATGCCATATCATCTCGTTAATACTACATTCATACATGTTTGTAAACGAGTAGACATCCATAGCTTCAGGCTTTTCAAAATATTACACAATGTTATTAGATCGAGGACACCGCTCTCATTCCATTTCCAAATCTTTGCCATGTGCATTATGAAGATGATTTTATATCCTAAAGAGGAACTGTCCTAATCAGATAAACTAATCGGGAAACCATTTGTTTTGACACACAACAGGTAATCTTAGGGTTTAACAGACTCACACGTCACCAATAAAAATTATCCTAAAAACTCCCCCTGAAAAGGTGACGTTTTTACAGTCACCTTTGGTACAGTTGAACATAAACTTCAAAGATCGTCTTTAAAGAAATTCATAGCAGCATATTGTAACATATACAGTACAATACTGTACATACTTGAAAGTTATTTCAACCAACCCTGGTAAGGCACAGACTAGCAAGAGTGATTTGTATCCCTTATTAAAACTACTTAAATTAAGCAATAAAAATGTTTAATAGGCATTTCCTCTCTGGAGTGGGTACAGGGGTGTGCATGTGCTTTTTTTTTTTAATGGAGAGGGTGATTCTTTTCAAAAATTGAAATTTTTTCCACTATACCTTAATTCACAAATACAAATCCTAATGAGAAAACCTTGCTAACCTGAGCAAGCCTGGGTAGCTTTTGAATTTTACAGTTTACTGATATTCAAAGATTAATCTAAAAACAAAACACAAAGATCTTTTTTCTTCAGCTAATTTTAGCTTTTTCAATTGAGAGCTCAGAGCATTAAAACATCTTATTTTGTACATAAAATCTAGTGGAAATTTGGAAATTTGCAAATAAAATCTTTTGTTAAAATGTTATAGTTTAAGTATAAACCTATAAATTCTCACCTTAGCATTTGAATTGCTTAGCCTCAAAGCTAATCAGACCAGGGAATGTTTTTTGTTTGTTTGTTTCTTTTTAGCATTCTGCATTTGTGTTTAACACTGCCATATTGTAGCCTTATGTTTCCATTATTAGTGGGCAGGCCTTGAACTAGGGGTGAGTATTGGCAATGGTGTTGCTATAAGATTAGTGTCCCGATACTTGGGTCACATTGTGATATTATCACTGCAATATCACTATATGTTGCAATATTTTTCCCAGCTAGCAAATTGAATGTATAGATAAAAAAATCAAGTGCTGTTTTTGTTCATCAAAGGAAATGTGTAATTTAGTTATTTTGGCATCCATTTTTTTGAGGGTTTAGGTCCACTGCCTCAACTACAGATGGGGCACTGTGGCGCATAGCAAATGTGCTCCACTGTGCTTTTTGCTAGTGTGGCGGTGCAGAGGTAGCCCATTTTCCCTCATTATTTTAGGTAAAAAAATTTTGTTTTTTTAAGCTAATACTAGGAACTGAAAGATCAATATTATATTGGACAGCCAATAATCCCGATATAAATAGAATTTCTTTTCCCCCCACACTCCTACTCTAAACCTGCTGTGTTATCTGCTGTTGTCACAATTTGGTTTCAAAACTGGACCTGTTCTGCAGAGATAGCTTTCTTCATAGTTTGGTATTAGGAGAGGTTATTCATTTTTGTTCACAGAACTGATGCCCTGCAGATATTTTCTCTTTTTCAGCCCGTTGTTGAAACCCGAAACAATTATTATTCATTAGAATTTCAGATCAGCTGCGTATAATATATTCAGGCTGGCCTATCTGTCATTGAAAAGATCACTAGATGCTCCTTTTCTCTATTGATTCTTGGTTAGATCTGAAATACATAAATTCACTGCATTAACTGGAAGTTAAACAGCTTTTCCCAGAGAAGTGGGTGGTATGGGGCAGCAAAATATAATGAGCAGTAGATAAACCCCAGTTTCATTCCAGCCCTTCTAATGTCCTAAGTTTGCTCTGTTGCACTAACAAATGTCTGATTTATCAATGCATATTAGCTCAATATTTTTACATGCTGTGACATTCAATGAGCTTTTGGCCACAAGTTGAGGTTGAGATTTCTTCTTCCTTTTATCTTCAGTGGACTGTTTTTCCATCATTAGCAATGGAATTAAACATCCAACCCTTCAGCTTTGAGTAATCGTGATACACCTTCCAGTTGTTTATTTTATTTTCAGTCTTTACTCCTCATGGTCTCTCATCGCTCAGCCTCACTGGAAGCCCTCTGTGAGTTATGCCAGCTGCATACATTTTTATGAAGAATGGAAGGAATACGCTGAACTAGTTTACACAGGAACATAATACCATTGGCAAGTGCACTACCCCAGTTTATCCAGTACTTCTAAGCTGCTGCTTTTCTTGCATTTAATATGTCTGGCATTTCCACCGTGTTCCCCAAACCACTTTGGCAGTAGATATCAGGATGGAGAATTGCATTCCTTTTTAGGGCTATGTCTCTGTTGGTCCTTCTAATGATTCCCACTCTAATCTAATAAAGATTGCAAATGAAAATAAGCAAATGCCCCAGCCTGAATTTTTGTTAAAAAAAATTCTGATGAAATACAAAAACCAAATTCCAAAGAGCAAAAGATAGTGTGAATGATTACTGTCTTCGGAGTCAGTGGGATTGAGGCCTTTCATCCACATATTTTTGGGATCCTCCACTCATCATACTACTCCACTACTCGCTTTTGTAGCCTTGAGAGGCGATAGAGCGTTTTGCAGGTGGCATTTATAATTCCCAGCAGCTGTAGCAAATTTTGGTGAAAAGCAGAAAGACGGATAAGGATGTAGGGTAGAGCTGGAAAAAGCTCATGTGTATTTTTTGGGTGGATGTTTCCGAACAACTTAAGGACGTCATGCTTCTCTCAGCTTCCGCTTCCTACTAGGTTTTATTTTTAGGAAGAGCTGAAAGCATTTGGAAACGTTATTTTTACTTGATTATTTCTCTACTGGGTATCCTGCTGCCCTACTGTCTGTAGCAAGGAACGTAATACTCTGTTTTTTTTCAACATTCCTTTGTATGGAATTCCACCCTGATATTTCCCAACTAAAAGGTTTCTTAAAGCCTAAAGTCTTGCTAGAGGGAAAAGTTAAATATCCTTTAATGAATATATTTGTGCTCTGAGAAAATTAACCAATGTGTCTGAAAGAAGTACATGTTTAAAAACTATGTTTTAATATAGTCAAAACCTAAACAAGTTTAAATACACTCACCATTAGAATTAAAGTTGTTTATTCAATTTTTCTGTAATTATTATTTCATATATTTTTGTCAGCAGTTTCACATTGTTATCTTCCTTCAGTATTGTACCCACTTTATGCAATGCACCAAAATAACTTGCAGCAAAAGGAGAGTATGATGGTGCCGTCTCTACGATTGCCAGGTTGTATGGAATTGTTGGGTTCGAAGGCCTTATCTTGACCTATCTGTAACTTTTTTGTAGTTGTGTCCAAATAGCTTGTTTAGTTCATTTTTGAAATGTCTGAACAAAAATATTTTCAAGGAACTGTTTCTATGCGAGTTGCTGGAAATGTTTCTACATTTCTGTACCTCTAGGGTGTCAGTTTTAAAGCAGGGGTGTTTTTTTACGTATTTCATTAATAACCCCTGAGTCTATGTAGTTGTTTTAGTTTGTGCACTAATGATTGAAATCTTCCACCACCTGAAATCTATGGGTTTGAGTGTTGGTGCTTATTTGGTTGATCCTGATCACCCTAAGTAACGCACTTTAATTGGAGGAAAATAATCCAAAAGACAACATCAAAATTGTTTGTTTTAAGGCTTTCAAAAAGCTTCTTTAGTGACCCTCCCCAAGTCATAGGATCACTGGCTATAGAAATGTTTTCACTGTGTTTGCTATAGACCAGGGAACCACCCAAATGAATGAATTCAACCATTTCTGTCAGAGCTATCATACATTACATTTTCTTCACAGTGGAACAATTAGATTACTTTATCAAGGCATTACAAATCTCATAAAGGCCATGTCCACCATGATATGTTATCCTCTGACCCGACCTGTTCATCATTTCATAAACATTTTTATCTAATCCTCTGTTCTCTTGTCTTGTTTTCATTTTAGCATCCCTGCCTTCCATCATTTTGACCATTAGGTTCAAGCCTTATCAACGGGGGATTTATTGTGATGATGAGAGCATCATGTACCCCCTGAAACCAGACACCATCACCCATACCATGATGGCAGTTATCACCATCTGTTTCACTGTTGTCATTGTAAGTTTTTCTCAGATGCTGAGCCAAATTAAGCAGCTATTAAACAACATCCAGTAGAGATAACCCAAATGATTATGGTGTATTAAGAAATTGTAAAACGAAATTTGCTGTAACAAAAAAAAAAAAATGTCTTTCCTCAGATCTCGTCTGGAGAAGCTTATCTGGTCTACAAAAGAATGGTTTACTCAAATTCAAGTTTTAACCAGTATGTAGCAGCGCTCTACAAGGTGGTGGGAACCTTTTTGTTTGGAGCAACTGTCAGCCAATCACTCACGGACATTGCCAAGTTTACAATCGGCCGCCCAAGGCCTAACTTTATGGCCGTTTGTGCTCCGAAGGTCTGCACAGGATACATGTTGGAAATCAACTGCACAGGACACTTACATGATGTCACAGAGTCAAGGTAGGAGAAGAGATCTCTGAGTGCAACTTTTCATTATTGGAATGAGACCGTGCACAATAGTGTTCAGTTATAAATTGCCCAAAAAATGGTTAATACAGCAGCTTTCACATTGTCCTTTAAGTAAAGGATATGAGGTTCATAATTCCCATTTTATCAACAGAAACAGACATATTGACAGACGTACTGACTCTTTAAATGTTCTCCAGTGTTTCAATTCAATTTATTTATATAGCGCCAATTCATACAGTAACACGTCATCTCAAGGCACTTCGCAGAGACAATTTACCCAGATCATACAGTCAAACACACAGGCAGGCCGAGGAGCTCAGAGCCAGCTCCCATGTCAGAGGATGAAAGAGAGAGCACATCTAGCCAGTCATAGTCAGAGAAACAGGACTACACTGAATAACAGGTGAAACTCCAACATCTATTAACAAAGGTGTTGATGGTAGCAGCACAGCTGATGTGTCTCTCCAGGATGGTGAGAATGTTAGAACGTTTTTTTAATACATCTAAGGCCCCCAGATGCAGTTTGTTATATTAGAATTGAATTCACAATGTCTACATGTGATAATGAATGCACAAGATAATTGCAAGAAAATTTTATTTATTTATTTTTTTCTATACAGAAAGATATCAATGATAAAATGTGTAAAGATAAAATGAGGTCAGTGATAAAGATCCTCTCTGTATTCCTTCTCTGCACACCTCTCCAGCTACTCTCAGGAGAATCAAAGGAACCTGTATCGGGTTTTTAGGGCAGTGGGTTGCTTTATCTGATCACATTTACACTTAATGACTCTAAAGGAAAGTCACCAACGCACTCAACTCACCCAAATTAGTTTTTTCTCCTCTCCCATTTAAAAAAAAAAAGGTTTTGGACTTTATATAACACCAAAGCCCAGAGATTGAAAAGCAGTTAGTAACCTAAAGCAATCAAAACAATCATCTTTACCACCCGAAGTTACCCAATAAACAGATATGTTCTGATGCTGCTGAGTTTTTTATACATCGTTTGGTGTGGTATCTTTTTTATATATATATATATATATATAAACAGATATGTTCTGATGCTGCTGAGTTTTTTATACATCGTTTGGTGTTGTATCTTTTATATATATATAGTGCATGTGTGATATTGACAATGTCAGATGAGAGTTGTTGAATAGTTTTTTTCTTGTTTTTTTTTTTTTTATAGATTATCGTTTTACTCTGGACACTCCTCCTTTGGAATGTATTGTACGCTCTTCCTGGCAGTAAGTTCGACCTTGAGTTTTTAAAACAATGGAAAAAAATCTGCTTGTCCTTGGATTTAAGATTACAGGCCCCTTAGGTGCTTGTATTTGTGCTTTGTTTTTTTTATTCAAGTGTTGAACAGTAGAAAAAGCCACATAGAACTATTAGACACACAATCAAAAGGCAAGGGGTCATATTTCCTAAGAACATTCCAGTTTTTTATTTGAGAAAGCTTTTTTTTGTTGTTGTTTTTTGTATTACTACTGTAAAATAACACAAAGGAAAGTGATTATAGCCAAAGTTACACTACCTTTTGAAACCGTGCCGAGATCGTTCCGAATACTGTAACCAAGTTAACTGTTGAGTGTAAATGGCACGCAAAACTGAACCAAACTGTGCCAGGCACAACTGAACCGCGCTAAACTGGTACTAGTTCATCAGAAGGGTTCAGTTCTGTGTCTCAGATAACAAAAAGCGAATGAGCAGATCGCGTCATCTCCTTAAAGTCATCCTCCATAATCATGTAATTGCGGAAATTCATAAAAATGCTTGGTTCCCTACAGTGCCACACGATTTCCACTGATGATTCAGCTTAGCAATATGATGAACCTCAATGTCTGTTGTTGTTTCCTGCGTCTGTAAGCCATGATTAGGCTATCATTTGTTGTATCCACTTCCCAAAGGTCGACTCTGTCAAGTAAATTCACCAAAGGCTACCTTCTTCGCCTTACTCTCTGCAAACTACAAAACATCACAATTATAACCAACCTTCCTGAGTGTTACAGGCGCTGCCATGTTAATTTACTGGATTCCCTCTAGAGAGCAATAACACCATAGATCGTCACTAGGAGGCGAGGAACCGTGCTAGCGTGATGTGTAAACGGTCGTAAGCAACCGAACTCGGCACGGATCGGTTTCAGAGGGGTAGTGTAAATGGGGCTTATGTTTAGTTTTTGTGGTCTCTGACTGTTGAATTGGCCATTGGGTGGAGTTTGTGTACACCAATTTCATTACTTTATTACGGAAGCCCTGAAAGGCAAGAGAGATAATAAAAAATCTGGAAAAGAAAAGTTTGAAGTTTTATTATTCTTTTTCTTCCCTGAAAGGCAAGAGGCGCAAAAAAATCTTGAAAAGTTTGAAGTCTAATTTTATATTTGGGACATGACCCTTGAAAACCAGGCCTCTCTGACTATGCAGTTGAAGAATACAGCCGACAGTGACTGTTTGTCTTATTACGTCAGTCCCTCTAGTGGCAAAATAAAGTATAACAAGAACAAACAGAACATTTGCATTTAATTCTCTATTTCACTTGCCTTAAAGGGCAGAAAATAAAGCAAGGAGAAAAAAAAACTTCAAACTTTTCTTTTTGCAGATTTGTGTCACACATGTGACTGTCACAAATCAAGACTTTTAACAGACCAACTAAATTGTCACCTGAATAAAAGGTTGTTTTAAGTGCCAGCTTCTTATCAACCTCAACCAATGTCAAAAACAAAACCACAGCAGTCTCTTTGGACAAACATGCTGCCTGTTTACACACAGCTGTATTGATGCCCTTTAAAGTCATCAGCTAAACCTAAAATGCATTCTACAATAACGTGGAACCTAAAAAAGAAAAGAAGGCTTTTAAAAAATATTTTGTATAGAAGAGAAGGTGCTGCATACGGGTTTGCAGCCATTCTTGACACAGGTGGATTCAGGTTCTGCTCATTTTAAATTAAGTTAACCTGTAGAAATTACAGACAGAACAAAGCTAACCCGTACTTCAGATGTGGGCTGGGTTTTCAAATATCTGCTTCAGTGTGAAGTGTTGCTGTGTTGCAGAGGGATGAAAGTCCGATGCCAGTTATTTCACCTTCTACAGCAGCAGAGAAAAAGCTTTCTATAGCTGCCAGTTTCATATATATTTTGGCTTCTATTCGCCTGCAAAAGAAGCTGGTACTTACTGGTTTATTCATCCTTAGTGGATATAAATTATGGTTGATTTCAACACGTTTTTTTCTCATGCTTGAATGAATTATACTTGTAAAGTCGGCACACTTTTTTGACTTTGCCTTTTTTTAGTTAGTTAGTTTCATTCTAGTCGAATTTGCAGGTTTGATGTCAAATGCATAATAAGGAAGATGATGACATTTGTTTTCAGTTGTACCTGAATCAAATAGTAATTCATTACAAAGCCTCTGCAGTAAATTCAGCTGTGTTTAAGCTGGATTTGATCTAAATTTTGCTGTATGCCACCCTTGGGAACTTCAGCTGGCCACCCACTGGTTGTTGAGTTTATGTAAATTGATGAAATCTCAGCTAAACAAAATCAATATCCGAGCTTTGTTTTGGTGACATCACTTTCGGGGTTTTTTCAGGTTTGCTAACTGTTCTTTTTTTTTTCCCCTCCCCATTTAATCTTCCATTCCAGCTTTACGTGCAGGCCAGACTTGTGGCTAAGTGGGCCAGACTTTTGCGGCCCACTATCCAGTTCTTCCTGGTGGCCTTCGCCGTGTACGTAGGTTACACCCGAGTCTCTGATTACAAGCACCATTGGAGCGACGTGCTGGTGGGGCTGCTGCAAGGAGCTCTGGTGGCCATTCTCAATGTGAGTCTCCTAGACAACGTCTTATTAAGGCAAACACAGTAAAGGTTCAAAAATCCAACCTAAATTTCCCTAAAGGCAGCTAATAATATCACAGAATGTAGCTCAGGGACTTCTCTTAACTTGTGTGGAGTGCTGAGTAATTCCAACCATGCTCACATTTGGACATTTTGTTCCTTTTGAAGTAACTTCAACCTCACCTAATGACATGCTTACATTGAAAGTTAATACAGTGGAGAATATGTGATAGGAAAACCAAACACTGAGATGTTAAATGGAAATCTTACTGCTAATAATACTCCTTCCAATGCTGAAAATCCCTGATGAAGCATTTTCAAGCTTCATTGAATTTTGACAGTAATTTGGAAGCTGAAAAAGTATAAAATACGTGTGTCGTGATTCCCAGCCAATATGTTCTTTGGGTTTGCTTCATTCAAAGGGGCTGTTTTTTTCATTCCCTGTTATTGCTTCATAAAAATCTGCAGTGGCAGAATGTATACATCTTTGATGAAATGGAACTTTAGTGTGTCTCTCTGGCCTTCGCTTCTGTTTGTGCAAAGAGAGTTCCTGTGAGGCACTGTTTAATAGCCTGTAGGGGTTGGCCCTGCTCTCTGTGTGTTCCTCTCAGATATGACTGTAGAAGTGTTGGTGTGTCATCTAGCACCTGTGTACCGACCCTTCCAGATGTAATCACAATTTCCAACCTTGGCTTTTTTTTCACATCCTCTGTTTTTCCCTTCCAGGAAAAAATATATTTCCTAAGTGACCAACAGTCTTACTGATCTTCCCCGTTCTTTCACTGCAGGTTCGCTATGTGTCGGATTTCTTTAAGGAGCGCCATCCACGTTGCCCAAGACCAGATGCAGCCAACAGCGAGGAGCCGGAGAGCAAACCGAGCCTGCAGATTGCAGACGCAGAGCATGGCAACCATTATGGATTCCGCAATGATTCTGACGCCTTGTGAAGAGGTCTGTCAGCTTTCTTGGCTTGTGGCCTGCAGACGCCCAAACCTGTGCAATAGGTTCTGATGCAGGAGCTCCAACTCCATTTGTGCAATCTGCCGCTTTCAGTTCAAGTCTTGATCCCCGTTTTGGAACTGTAACATTTTTATGACTTTATGAGCTCATAAGCTCCTTCTGCTCTTTTTCAACCACTCACTCTTCATCTGCTTCACTGGACTGACTAAAGGGGGGGGGTTCTCTACCCCTGTTAATAAAAACACAATGACCTCTGCTTCACTTGTCAGCAAAAAGGGAGTCCTTTGCCTTAGAATTGTAATTAATGAAATAATCATTTTCACAAACCTAAAGTGCAACGTAACAGTATGGATAACACATTGTACCCAACAGATAAAAAGGAACAATATGTGCTTTTTCGCAACCTTGGAAGTGAAAGTCTTTGGTGCTCTTTTTGTTTTTTTGGGGGGCAGAAGAAAAAAGTTAGTTCATTTGTATTCCACAACTTTACCATTTTGTAAGGCATATTTTATTTCATCAGTTTAAAGGACTCGAAAAAGCAGATATAACTCCACATTTTCAGTGTGATTATTTCATATCTTAATTGTTATAAATTTAGCTTATTGAAGTTTGTTTTGATATTCTTAATTTTTTGTAAATGTTTGACTTCTTTGCAGTGACAGAGAGCAGAATATTTTTGTGCACCTTAAACTGCTCACTAGACCAGATAAATGTTGCACAAGGTAAAATGATCGCTGCAAGCTAAATAAAGCTTGCTGGATATTGTGGTGTGTATCTGCTCAACCACTGTACCATGAGACAGGTGGTAATTTGTCTTAACTTTCACAAAACAAATATGAGTAACAGCTTAATAAACTCCTAGACTAGCTGTACCAAGAATAATTTTAAGGATCAAAGTCTATTCACCTGTGCTTATCTGACATGAAACTACAAACCTGACGATCAGACATGCTTTAAGGCATACAGGCTTTGTTTTTTTTTTTACTCATGTCAAATTATTTAAGTCATTCCATTCATAAAGGGAAACTTGCATGGTTTAAAAAAACACTGGTATGTTTCAAGCTTTTGTTTTCTGCCATATTTAGCATATAGGTTAAAGCTAATGAAAGCCCTAAGTGTTGGTCCACTGAAAATGTGTCCACTTACTCTACACTATATGAACTATTTGGTTAGTGTTCCTTTAGCAAGAATCGCTCAATCACTGAGACACAGCATGGAGGTGCTGAAGTGTCCGGTGTCTAATTCTTCCTCTTTACAGTCTTGCATGTGTTCTTCAGGTAGGTTTTTACTCGTCAGTTGAGCTTAGTAATAGAATTGTCTTCATAATGTCATCAGAAGAAGTTTTTAGTACTTCTAAAATTATTTGAGTACATGCCGAGTCTAATTGAAAATTAATAAAGAGGCATGAGATGCTGTAAAATATCAGATGCAGCAGTCTAGAAATTTCCTTTTTAGCCCAGCTGTGGAGCTTCTGATATCTAGTTGCTATTGTCTTAACACAAGCAATGTGACATTTTAATCCATCAGTCCAATTATATAAATGTCCCCCAAACTTTTTAATAATTACCTTTAGAAGGTTGTGGTCACACCTGCTGCTGATGTACCCTATTTTTTAGCTGTATTTTTTCATCTACTTAATTTTCATATAATATGTTTAGATACAGCAATGAACAGCTTAGATAAGGAGGGCCAGCTTTTAGCAGTAAGTGACCGCCTTATTTTTCGGCTGTATTCCCCATGGCTGTGCAGGTCACAACATGACAAAACAAAACTATGTTGTTTTAAAAGTCTTTTCTTTATTGGTCTTAAGTTGTATATATTTTTTGAAGAGTTTCTGATGCTTCAAGTCATAATGAAAATGAACAGGAACACAAGCTTGAAATATATCACTGTGTAATGTATCTATATAATATGAGGCTGACTTTTTGCATTAAATCACTAAGTAAGTAAATTAAAAAAATTTAATTTGTAAAATGATCTTTATTCTTTATTCTCTTAAAAATATGCACACTTTATTATATATCATTCTCTCTAATAAAAGGTTAGGAATAATATCCCCTTGTGCTGATTTTCCTCCTTTGGGAAAAAAATGGACTGCAGAACTAAAATAACGGATGCGGACAGTTTCCAACTTAACACATCACACTGCTACCACTATACTACCAAGACAAGGTTTAAAATTTGACCACCTACTTTATTTCTGTTTAATTGTGTTGTTTTATTTTTAAAATAGATAAAGAAGGACAAGACAGCAATGTTAAAAGCTGTTTAATTTATTTTGAAAATGACATTTTTATTCACTTTGTACAAGGTTGGAAAGGCCTGCTTTAATGAAGTTTTTCTGTGCAATCACATCTGCTTGCCACTATGAGCCACAAATACTGTATCTACTAATACTATGAGTCTTTATAAAGGATGCTTGTTTTTTGTCTGTATATATGTATGTGTTTCTTTGTGCACCTCTATGTTGGTATGATTTCATATCATCACTTGTGTTTCGACTAATCAGGCTTGTCTGTTGGTTTTTCCGAGCAGATTCAGTTCCTAGTCTGTGGCAGTCACCACAGTTACTCTCATAATGACTGTTGTTGCATTGTAGTAAGAAGTTATTTGCTAAACTTAGCTTTTAATGCTGGTAACACTAATGACCAAATTTTATGGGGCCATGAACCCATCATCTCCTTTATTTTTTTGGTTTTTGTTTTGGAAGAGCAGTACTGGATAGAAAATAGATCAGGCAAATCTTTTACTTCAGAGTTATTGCACAGCGGATGGGTAGATGTCCAAAATTCCACTTGGGGTTTCTTTCATGTACACTCTAATTGGTCTAATATCTGAACAGATTCAAATCAAAGTGAATTTATGATCTGGAAAGTTGCCTGCTTAACAGGTATAAATCATTTTAGTGAATCTGTTGATACAGTGTTTGAATCTACAAAATGAGAGAAAATGAATTGCTTTATTGTTAAATAAATTTAGTTGGCAAATTCCACTACCTTTACAACTGGTATCTTGGAAACTGTTGGCTGTGACTTGAGGGATCTGAGTTTAGTGTTCATGTGGAGCATAGGATTGTAGCTGGGCGACTGGACGTTGCTCTGGGATTGTGCTGTGAGATTGGGTGTTCCAAAAAGCTCTAAACATTTAGGAGGTGACAACAGTAACTGGTCGTGGTGTTCAGTTCTGCTTGTTCTAGTTTCTAACATTTAAACAGAAAGACCAATCAAAAACATAGACAGTGATTTTAAACAAACAAAAAGTTTTAACTGTTAAAGTGCCTGTTTTTTTATCCTTCTTTAAACCTTCAGTCCTTTAAAACCTCTTTTCAGTTTGTAGCTGTGGTTTATATCTGTGTAGACTATAAATTATATCTGTAGTCTTCTTCCCGGATCCTTTCAAATAAAGATATATTTAACTCTAAAATGTATGACTTTCATTTGTATGTATTTATTTTTGATTTATATGGAGTAACATAGGTAGGACTTTGGATAAACCGTTTCTGTTCTATCAGGAAATAAAAGTATTCTGTGTTGCTGACTAAAATAATGCAACTTAAGAGATCTGTAGAGGGTGTGATTTGGTGGCGCAGTGGTTAGCGTGCATGATCCATGTATGGAGTCGGCCAGCTTGAAGGACTAAGGCCTACAACCTGTGGTGTTTTGCTGCATGTCTCTCCCATACCCATTTCCTGTCAGTCTACTGTCTGAAAAAAACAGCCACTCGTGCTGTAAAACTCAAAAAAAAAAAAACAGATCTGTAGACACAATGTCAACATACTGAGTGTAAATTCTGCAAGCATTTACCACTAGTTTCACTCACTTATCTAAGAACGGTAAAAATAATCACACTGGATGGTGTTAAGGAGACTTAAGATCTTTTAAGTTTCAGGAAAAAAAATGCAATTTTGTGCAATCTATTTTAAAGTTTATCACAAGGTGATACAAAGACAAACAAGCATGCATACATGGTCAAAGCTAAGGCCAGTTGAATGTTGGCAGTTAACCACCGTCATGTTTTTCCACTCTGGAAAGAAGCTGGAGTACCCGGAGAGAACCATTGTGTTCGAAGAACATCCAGACACCTTACAGGTAGAGCAAAGGCTTCCATTTAAACCAGGACCTTCTGGCTGCAAACAAATTATGCCAATGTACAACCCCAGCTGTAGTTTGATCTCACTATAAATTAAACTTTTCTGTAAACGGGCTTAAGAGATTTATAAGAAAGAATTCAAAATAATGGAACATAGAGGGCAGGCTGTAGGTTAAAAAAGCAATATACCAACCTTTGAACACTTTTCTAACAATCTTCTGATACTGGACGAAACAACTTCTTGCCTGGCCGTCCATGAAATGACCTTACCTTAAGCATTATGATTTCTGTGTTTTGTTTATTTTGCAGTTATCTTTCCACAGTAGTACTGCTTTCTGTTCACAATCCTGGAGGGGGGCATTGGCTGGGCTGCTTCCGATGATGACCTCATATTATCCTATGGACAATCCTACCACTGAGCCTGATTCAGTGGGAGGATTCTTTCTGTTAAAGGGGAGTTTTCCTCTCCACTGCAAAATGAATGTAAGCGATTGGACTTGAGATGATTTGTTGTAAGCTGACATTATATGGGAAAAAAAATTTGATTTGGTTTAAACAGGGATAAACACAAGGCATGGAAAGGGCTAGGGTTCACCTCTCCACCCTAAACATTCAATTAGAACTGCATTGGATCGGTTTGATCATAGCACAGCAGTGTTTTACAGGAAAATGGCAACATTTTGTGGATGGAGCATACCAGAGTGTGATTAAGTATGGTTATGACACATGACCAAATAAAATAGTAAAAAGAGGAATTAAATACTTTTGAAAGTCTTTCAAGTTTTGTTATATTGTATATATACAAACCGAAAATAAATGAACGCTTTTCATTGGTACTTTGGCTTTTTTTGGATTTTCACTTTTTAGTTAAGGAAAGTCTAAGCATATGGATAATCTAGCACCAAAATATGGCTTTTCATGTGCTGGTGCTTTTTCACTATCAGACTTGCAAACTGTTGCACCACAGAGCCAGATTCCAGTGTAAAATGTAACATGTGGTTTGACTTATCTTGCATTACAGTTACAGCTTTCAGCATTGTACCTCTGTAACCATCCTAGCATGCTCTTGATTTGTGTTATGATTTTATTACACATTAAAGCTTTTTTTTTTTCTTGTTTTGTTATGCACCTAGAATAATTAAAACTAACTGCTTAGGACTTGGGAAGGACTGATCAAGGTTTCCTTGGCTGGCTTTGTGGGACTGGAGCTTGGAACGAGCCACAAAAATAAACATGTGTATTTAGAACGAAATAAACTCTGGACCCGCAGGGAGGTTTGTGGGAATATTGTTGGCGGCAGTACTGAAAACCACTGTCATCCCTCATTTAGAACAATATCACTCGTTTGCCTTCTATGAAAGGGGGGTGTGTATGGGACTATTCATTAACACTATGTCAAAACAACAGCCAGTGGAAAATATTAAGCTTTTCTCCTTATACATAGGTTTTGCTGTTTAGCTTTTCTTCTGCTTGTCCACAACTGTGTTAAATACATTCCCTCTTTTTTATCCATACAGTCTGAAGGAAACTGCCTCATTATGTCATAAAATGTGTTTGCGATGAGGTGCTCCTGAGGCTCCATCTAAAGTGAGTTATGGTGCATCAAATTAACTTGTGACCCTTTTCCACTCATGCCTTCAGAGCAGATGAAGATGAAACATCTTTTATAAAATCTACATTGAAAGGTAAACTCTCACTTAACCATATTTTAAAATAGTACTTTTTTGTTATGGTACCATAACACTGGAATAATGTATATATACAGCAAGATGTTTCTTATCATAGCAGCTTTTCTGTTATTTACATGTATCACAGATAAAAAAAAAAAAACATTAAACTATTAGCTTTTATTCTGGATTCTGACCTAAGTCATTTAATTGTTGATCTTACCTGATACCTCATCCCAGACTGATTTTATATTAAGCTCAATGCCAGATTGATGGTTAAAACCACTAAATAAAATCCTCTGTGATGTACTGGAAGCTAAGGTATTGTTTTTTTTTTGTTGCTGTTGTTGTTTTTTTTGACAGCAACTAAAGATTCCTTCTAAATAGAATTTTTGTACTTTGATACGTTTCAGTTTTTTCCTTTATACGAAATTCAGCTTTTGGAATTGCAGGTCAAAGTTTGACTTTGGCTTCTTCAGAGTACAGTAAACCTTTTTCATTAATAGGTTTTGGGGGATTTCTTAAAATGAGATCCTTTGTTGAGTTCAGAACTGTAGGATCCAGTACTCAAGTCGGACAGACGGATTTCTCAAAATGTTTATTGGAACCCGAACTGCAGCGAACAGGGTCGGTGTCTAAGACAGAAACCTCTGCAGGAGGAGACCTCAGGTTATTGACCACATCTATCTGGTGGTGGCTGATAATGAACGTGTGAGTCCCTAACCTGGTCTTATAATTTAGTCCAAGCCCAGAGGGAAAGGTTGGTTCCAGCCAGTCAGCTGCCAACATGATACGGTGGGCGCCGCCCAGAGAGTCCCTGGCACTGATGTATCGGAGGACAGGCAGGTTAATCCACAGGGCGAAACCAAAGCCATGTTGAAGATGAGCTCGGTAGTCAGAGCCAGGTTGATCAAATGTCTGAAGAGGTGCCATGGGAAAATCCAGAAAAAAGTCGTGAAACCGTTTCAGGTTTGGTTCACAGACAAGCAGAGACAGGGGGCATAAGACAGGAGTCAGGAGACAGTTCAGGAAAACAGATCAGATGGGGATGGGCAGGCTCAGAGGTCCAGAGGCAGAACAAGCCAGGATAGGCAATCGGAACACACAGGTATAAACTCTTACCCAAAGGTTAATCTGGCACTGATGACTCGTCTGAAGGCTGGTTAAATACAGGCTGAAGCAGATGGATCAGATGAGCACTAATGAGAACTGGGCGGAGATAAGCCGCTGAGTGAAATGAGGAATTTAGACCAGACACCAGCGCCAATATCATGGAATCCTTGGGAGCATTTGTAGCCTTTTGGCTAAAGTTTGCAAATAAGCAAAAATCACAAAGACTGTACAGTCAGCCTCATCCTACTGAATCCTTTAAAAAAAAGTTGATTTCAACAAAGTGTTACCTAAGGGGTTTTGTTTTTGGATTACATGGAGAAAAACATTTTAAAACAATTATCTTTCTTTAGAACATAAACCTCTCTTTAAATACCTGTGTGTAATTGAATAACAGATGGACGTGATCCTAAAGCTGAAGACAAAAAAAAATTGCAAATAAAAACCAAAAACTTTGATTCATGGCATTTTTATATTTATACTATTATCCCAGACCAAGTGTAGAAACAAATGAAATATAAAAAGTGCTGTTGAAAATTACTCTCCATCTTCTTTGGCAAAGCTTGAGAGTAGAAGAATGGGCAGAAACCTAATTGTCTGGACTAACGACTTCCTGCTGCAATTACCTAAAAGGTATCTCAGTATTACAATATTTCAAGGGAATACATGTGATTAATGCAAATCCACAGGATATGTATTGAATTTACATTTGCAAAAATTGTTTTCTTTCTTGTTTTGTTCTATTCTTACTTTCATACAACGGTACCTTGCTTTATGTTTGTCTATAACATAACATTAAACTGAAAAACATAAAGTTTCATGTTTGTCACATAGACAGAGTTCAGACAACTTTTAAACATAAAAAAAAATATGAAAAACTTTCACCCATTAATCATTCTTTTATCTTTTAGTGATTTGCTGATAAACTAAATGACACTGGTTTAACATTTGAACTTGGAAAAAATCTTCAGGCACATTATAAAAAATCTTTTGTTTTTTTTGATAATAGTGAAGTCAGATATCTTGGCTTTAGAGTCCAGGAGAAAAAGAGTTTTGGTTGTTTTG